AGCTTATTATTTCGTTATTATTAATATTACACGGATATAGTAATGTCAGAAATGAGGTTCCTAGTATCATCTGTGTTGTCATATCTTTTACTAATACAAAAGATGTTGTAAAACATATTTTATCTTTACAGACTTTTACATAAGATAACTTATATTGTATATTCATTTTTTTATCCATTAGCTTAAGTTAAATTTTCTGTAGTTTTAAAGTAATATTTAGTTGGTATAATTCCCTCATGTATGCAATTTATATAAAGTCCTGACTCTATAAGAGCTATCATATTTGTACTTTTCTTGTTCTACTATTAGTTTTATTTTACAATACCACCTATGTATTATTACTGGATTTAATACTTCTTTATGATTAGAATCCTTTCTTTGATTATTAATTTCTTGTTTTATTGTTTTTATTTCATATTGTAGATCTTTTATAGTTAGGGCTCTATCTTTCTTGAAGAAGAATTCTAAAGTGGTTAATTGTTTAATAAAATCTATTTTTATTGGGTTTTCTAATTTTTCTATTAATTTTTTACATTTTTGTTTTTTCTGCTGTATTATTACATTTATTTGTGGAGTATTTTGTTTTTTAAATAATTTTTTTATCTTCTTTAAAGTTTTTCCTATTTTTCTACTAATTTTTGAGGTTTTGTTTATGCTTTTTAATTTGTTTTGTTTTATCGGAGGATATTCAAATTTTAATATTTCTCCTAATGTTGTTTTCTTTTGTAAAAAATATTCTATGTTGTTTTTTAAACAATATTGTTCTAACTATGGAAAAATAGTATTTATTTCTATTTCTTTTAAATAACTATAGAATCTTGTTCTAATCTCTATTCTTTCTTGTTCTGAATTTTTTTTGAAAAACCATTCTTTTAGTTCTTTATTATACTCTGCATCTATTTCAGCTTTTATCCATAGTTTATTTATTATGAAAGGTTTTACTCTAGTTATTATATTAAGTATTTGAGATGTTGTTGGACTATAATTATTCTCACTATTGTTTTTTATAGATTTGTAAATTGGTATTGATATTCCTAATTTTGATATATTGCCTAATCCTTTTAATTTTATTGTTGAATTATCTACAGAGTAACTAGGAGGTTCTCTCAGGGTATGAGGCTTTGTTATTTTGACGGATGAAGACCTATTCATTCTTAATCTTATCTTCCCATCAGATTCTATTATGTCTCTTATTTTTGTGTTGATAATTTTTTCTTGTTTTTTACAGGAATTGTTAATTCATTATGTTTTAACTTTTTAGGCATTTGTACTAGACTTCTTTATAAATTAGCTTGTATTACTATTGTTTCACTAGTTGAAATTTTGTAAAGAGCTTTGTAGTTATAGTCTACTCTTGTAACTTTGTAATAGACCCTATATATTAAATGAAAAGGATCATACAAGTTGTCTACTATATTATATGGTGTTTTAATAAAGATTTTTATTACTTTTTCTGTTTTCTCATTATTGAGACTCATAGCAAAGTTAGGATAATAATTAAATAAAGCTGGTCCATCATGTAAATTTATTTTTAAAGCTGCTATTATTGAATCTTGTACTTTATTAAATTTCATATCTCTTAATAATACTAGGATAGGAAAGTCTATTCCTAATCTAGTTTTTGATCCTAAATGAATAAAATTAAATCCATCTTTTTTATGTTTTTCTAGTAAACTGTTTTCTAATAACTGTATATCTTTTTTACTCTGGGTTCCTAGATATAAATATTCTATTTTGTGGATTTGTTCATTATTACCAAAATTCCATAGAGTTCTTTTACTGTAAACATCTTTTTCTTTTATTATTGGTATTGACCAATTATGTAAAGATTGTTCTATTTTTTCTATAGTGATCTGCTGTGGGACTGATTTAGAGGTTGAACTAGAGTTGAAGTTTCCTCCTCATTCCTCTTTTTACTGTTTGGTTATTTCTTCCTAAGTTTAATTTACTCATTGTTCTTAACAAACTAGCCATACTGTAACGGGACCACCATAGCTGACCAACGGTTTTACTGCCACTCCCTTGGACTTACTACCGGGACCACTACACAACACAGCTGACCAACGTCTAAACAGCTCTCGCTGCTACACTCAGACATTTCTTTCTTAAAAATGAACAGTTTTATAGGAACTCTAAGAAAATTATCCCCAGAAAGAGTATAACCTCTTAGTAATAAGAAAGATGAAGTATCATTTTCAATACTTGCTTTTAATTATAATTTTAAAATTTATTTTGAGTCAGTTTTAAGGAATGTCAATAAAAAACTTATTTATACTTATGTTGAATACTAGTTAAATATTTTTTATATAATGGGCCTAATTCAATGTTTAATGAATGGCAAAACATAAACACTGAAATTCAATATGATTTTTAAATATTGAAGGTGGTAAGAGAATTAGTCCCTGGTCTGTTTTATAAGAAATAAAATAGAGCATTTTCTTGATCCTTATTATAAGAAATAAATGATAGATTCAAAATGCATTAATTGCTAAATTTTTTTATATCCCTTTTATTAGTATCATTACATATACAAAATACTAACTACACCATTTAATATCATGGATATTTTTAAAATAAAATTTATATTTATAAAAAATATAACAGAATTAATTGCTTTTCCTGGTCCCGATGATTTAGTCTTTCAATTCTTATAAAAAGGACCGGAAGGAGTATTTAATAACATTATATAACGCTTGCATTAGAATAAATGATATTAAATTCAATATTGTCGGATGGATGCTATTTTTTCTCTCTGAAATTGTTATTAACTTAAAGATTAATTTGTAATAAATGAAATTTGTTTAGGGTATTGACATTTTGATTTTTTTTTTCTAATACATTTTGGTTAATTTTTAATTAATTATAAACTTAACTTTTAGATTGAAAAAATTAATATTTTAATATTTTATTTCTCTTTTTTTTTTTAAAAAAAATGATCATCCAAAATTTAGCATACCCAAATTTCCAAATTTACTTTTTTTTTCCTTTTCTTCTTTTAAACGTCTTAACTCCACTTAACCCTTTAGTACTTAGGAAAAATGCTATCACATTCTTTAAAATTTAACAAAATTATACCTGATGCTTTAAACTTTCTTTTTACCGTATATAAATATATTTTATTTTATAGAATAACTAGAATGTTAATATGTACGATGTTATAGGCGAGTTAACTGTCAAATAATAGTATTAATAAGTTTAGTTTTTTTTATCAAAATATCAATGATAATAGGCTGTACTCAACTAAATAAGTATAATTAATTTTTATAATTTTAAAAATTAAAATGCACATAGTTTAAAAGGTTAAAAAATATATAAGTAAGCAACATATCAATAAAAATAAAAGAAAAATATGATATAAATATAATTAAAATGATTCAAGATTATTAAAATAATAATAATAAAAGATGTCATTAATTATATTATAAATACAAATAAAAAATAAAGTTGGCAATACATTCAAAGAAATATTAAATTTACACAACTATTCTTAACATGGCTCACCTTGATTTACTGAATTTATCTCTCTTTTTATCAAAATAGGGCACTGGTGATTAGCTAACGAGGAATACCTTAAATCTCTTAAAATTCGACTTAATTATAATAAGGATGTAACTTTTTTTCACAAAACTTGAATTTGGGATGATTCTAAAATACGATAGAACTTCATATTTTGAACTATAAATTTGGACAAGAATTACTGTAATAAAATGTGGATGACATAATATATGATTAGAAGTTAATTCAAAAATATATATAGAGTTTTTGATTAAGAGGCTATGAACCATATGAAAAGTTGAAAAAAATAAAATTGATATCTTAGAACATAATTAGAGGGCGAAAAGATAATAAGAATGGTGTCATAAACAAGAATGCTTGATAAGTAGGAGATTGTCACAAGAATTAATAAAATTTTTAATAAGATTAATAGGCACAAGGAAGAATCCTAATAAAAAAAACACACTCAATGTATTTGATTATAAAAAATGTGTGTTATTTCCTCATATGATCGCCAATTGTTTTAGTACAATACAATGTAGGAGCTTGTTCGTTTGTACTTAATAAAACTAGAAATAAACCCTTTTTAGTACAAGCATCATTTATATATTCTAGTGGTTAAAGGGACATATTGATATTTTGAGCTCTTCTCCTCTCATTCTAAGTAAGCTATGCATGTGTACACTCTTGAGCCTAGGCTTCTCCCATTATAACTTCATAATTCCTCCTTCTTGAGAAACATTTATTTTTAAATATTTTAATCCATCACTTGCATTATATAAAAATAAATTAGTCACACTCAATCTTGGCACACACTTGAAAATATTCATCTTCTCTTAACATTAAACTTTGAAATGGAAAGATTTCCTTCCTAAAGTATAATCATACACAATGACTTGATTCAAATGTTGCCTTTCTCCTACCTTTCTTGGCATGTTTAGCATACCTTTCTATTTTTTTGAGTTTGGGTCATGCTTAATCTTTTTCTATTCAAATTTATCATTGAATTAAAAAGACTAAAGCCTCACTTTAGTTCCTGAGAGATTTTGAGTCTAACATTTTAGTCCCTAAAACATTTAAAATGTCACATTAGTCCTAAACTCACTTCTCTGTCATTCACTCTAGTCCCTGAGCCCAAACTCTATTAAGAAATAGTAACAAAAGGTTGAGTTATCATGTTAAATGTCACGTCAGAAGCCAAGTTGGCAGAAACAATATCATTTTAGGAAGCTAACATAGTACCTTGAATGACCAAACGACGTCATTTTGATTGAAGCCCTTTGTCTCAAAGAAGAACCCTAAGTGCATGTAGAATCTCGCCCAAATTCTTGTTCGTAGTTGTGTTTAGTGGTAAAATATTTAGAGATTGAAGTTTGTTATAGTGGAAGAAGAACCAACAGATAGAGAATTCGATAAAAATAATTTCTTAATTCATTATGATTCATTTTGGATTTTGGGGACGACGAACCCTAAGTGTTTAATGTTTTAAGGATGACAAACCTTAGATGTACAGGTGGGATAAAGTTAAAATTTGGGCTGATGTTTATGGTACAAAATCATGCTTGTGATTTAGTTGTCGAAAGTTGGATCGTGGGGTATGGTAGGCAAATCTTGTGTTTGTATATGTAGAATTACATAATAAAGAAAGAATGTGTCTACATAATTTATTAGAACTTAAAATATTTCTTTCTCATCAGTATTTGTGATGCAATTCTGAATGGCAAGTTTGCACCCAGCAATCATGGAAACGTCCTTATGGGGTTGGTCTCCTAGTAGCTGACAATTGTTTGAGTGGAAACTATTTTGACTACCAGGCTTTTGCAATTAGCTCTCGCTCACAAGCTGCAAAGACATATTTGGAATGCAAGTTTGAGAACTTTACTAGCTCCTTACATAAAGATCTTATCAAAGATACACTTATTGTAACTAGGGAGTCTGTGCAAGGTGAAAAGCACAGTAGTTCTGTATGCATTGTTGCTATGGTTGGAGTTGGTGAGCCATTCCATATTTTGGATCAGGAAAATCTCAACAGTTGATTGATACTGTTGAGATTGTAAGAGAGGAAGTAGGGTACTGCCACAAATCAAGGTGGTGCTAAAAGGGTAAAAAAGGCTTCAATCAGGATGACGTCGTTTGGTCATTCAGGGTATCATGTTAGCTTCCCAAAAATGACGTGCTAATTAGGCTTTTGGCATGACACTTAACATAACAACTCAGTCTTCTGTTACTATTTTTTAATAGAGTTTGAACTCAAGGACTAAAGTGAATGTTGAAGAAGAAAGTTGTGGACTAACGTGATATTTTAAATGTCTCATAGACTAAAACGCTGGACTCAAATTCTCTCAAAGACTAAATTAAGAGATTAGTAAATTAAAAAAGAGACAATTACATTAAAGATACAAAAGTGTAATAAACATTTTTTTAATAAAATTTTACTATTTTCAAATATTTGAACTCAAATCTAAAAGTTAGGATAAATAAAAACCATCTTGAAAACATATTTTACTTATTTTTAAAAATATAATTTTATTTTTATAAATTATTTTTGTTTTAATAATAATAATGCATTACCAAAAAAATAAATTTTATTTGCCAAAAATAACTGTTAAGAAATTATTATAAGTTAATATCAATTTTTCAATATTTGTTTACACAAAAATACTTTTAATTGTTAATAATTTTATATTTTTAATATTTATATATTTCTATTGGAAATTCAAAAATTTATAGTCAAATTTAATTTTAAGGATAGTTTTATGATTTTAGTATAATTTATTTATTTATCTCAAACATTGAATAGAATAACATAATATTATATGTTTTTATTATTTTATTGTAACTAATAGTAGAATAGGATAAGGATTTATTTTACTCCTTTTATATCCTATTTTTATTTAATTTTCACATCTTGTGATTTGTTATCCTATCATATTCACAAACTCTTAATATTATTTCATTCTGTCTTTACCGAGAAAGAGAGATTATATGACATTTTAGGCTAGTGGATTGAATGGAATTTTGCTCATTCTGATAGGGTTTTGAAGGGCAAGGCCGAAATTCATATGGTCGCTTGTGGAAAAAGCAAACAAAAACGTAAAATTGCTCCATGAAGTCTGTCATATTGCTCCCATGGAATAACCTTCATTTGCTATTGCTTCTTTTGCAATAACGTTTTGCTTTCAATGTATATAGATATTTATGGGTCTCACCAGAGCAGAGGAGGCTGGGCTAAACACATAGTTCAATCTTCGATAATTTTTATTTTAAATCCCATAAAAGGAGTGTGAAATAGCTAAATAGAAAGGTTGGGGAGACTAAAGAAGGAAAAAGTACAAAAATATGATCGATTCTGTAATAAAATAAGAAAAGAGATGCACGATTAAGAGACTCACAGTCAAGATTTAAATGGGACACCTTCCACATTATATATTTACATGTTCCACGCAGGCAAGATTAAGACTCACATTTTCCAGTTACTGTACTATAGAATCATAATTTTCTCTCATTTTTGCATCTAATCTTCTCAGCAATTCATAAATCTGATCACAATCATCATGAAATCTATCACCAGCAACGAAACTGTGAACCTCATTCTTTAATCCAACCACACTTTGACCAACAACCTTCTTCAACCTATTCTCCTTTATCAATGTCCTGAGTTTTGCAGCATTATGCCAATTATTGTCCTCACAATAAATATTTGATAAGAGTACATAATAGCCTGCATGACTAGGGTCTAATGGGAAAAGATTCTTAGCTGCAACCTCCCCCATCTTTGTATTTTGATGTATGCGGCATGCACCAAGCAAGGCACCCCATACATCAGGCCCAGCTTGCATAGGCATGCCATTAATTATTTCCAAGGCAGTATTCAACTCTCCCATTCGACCAAGAAGATCAACCATTATCCCATAATGCTGTGAGTTTGGCATCAATTGGTAATCATTCACCATCATATCAAACATCTTTATCCCTTCTTTAATCAAACCTGCATGACTGCAAGCAGATAGAATTGAGATGAAGGTTACATCGTTAGGCTTAACACCTGAATGATCAGCCATTTCATAAAATAATTTCAAAGCCTCTTCCCCTTGCCCATGGGATCCATAAGCCGCAATTATCGAGCTCCAGATTACAACATTCTTACATACCATTTCCTTGAAAACCTTGTTAGCATTATCTATGCTACTACATTTTGCATACAATTCTATGAGCGATGCTCCAACAAATTCATTGTTGTTGAACCCACTTTTAGTAACAAAAGCATGAAGGCATAAAGCTTGTTGAAGAATCCCCAATTTTGAACTAGTAGAAAGAATCTTCACTACAGCAACAGCATCAGGTTGAGTTCCACTAGATAACATGTTGCAGAAAACCTCCATGGACTTGTGTGCCATTCCAATTTCAGCATAGCCACCATACAAAACAGCCCAAGAAACTACATCTTTCTCGGGCATTCGGTTGAAAAGGTCAACTGCATTTTCAGGTGAGAAGCACTTCATGTACATGTCGATCAGAGCAGTAGAGACAGCTATATCCAACTCAAAACTGTAATTGACCGCTAATTTATGAATCTTTATACCTTCTTCCAAATTTGAACTTGAAGCACATGCTCGCAATGCACTAACCACAGTAACCTTGTTGGGTTCAATTCTCTTATCTCTCATTTCATTGAAAAGATGTAAAGCACTGCTTTCAGCTCCATTATCACCATAACAGGCAACCATTGAGCTCCAAGATATAATATCCTTATTAGGCATTTCTCTGAACAAATTGGCTGCACTCTTGATGGAACCAGTTTTTCCATACAAATTTAGCAGTGAATTGGCCAAGCATAACTTAGTGTCAAAACCCCTTCTTTTTACAACTCCATGTACACTTCTTCCAAGCTTAAAATCAGATAACTGAGCACAAGCAGAAGCAGCACTAACAAGTGTCACTGGGTCAGGACTCTGTTGCTCCAACACAACCATTCGGGAGAAAAATTTGAGTGCAAGCTCAGGCATTCCACTCTGCTCATAACCAGTAATTATTGAAGTCCACAAAACCACATCTGGTTTTGGATACTCCATAAACACCTTCGCAGCATCATCCATTTGTCCACATTCTGAATACAGCTCAATCAAGGCAGACCCCACAAACATGTCATTATCTATCTTCTTCTTCTTCTTGAGAAACCCATGAATCATTTTACCCATCCCAAGCTTCTGCAAGCCTATACATGCTTTCAAAGCAATAGACACTGAATAATTGTCAGGTCTTTCCTCAGTTGATACAGCATCTGCGCTCATTCGACGGATTAGAGATAATGTCTCTACCCATTCTCCTTCCAAACAATAGCTCCTAAGCAAAGCATTCCACAGATAGACAGTTTTATGAGGCGTTTCCTCAAACAGCTTATGTGCATGGCAAATTGATGCATGTCTGGCATACAAAACGTTAAGCTTTGTCACAATGAAACTGTCATGGGCAAGACCTACTTTCAAACACTGAGAATGCAACAGTGCAACCGATATCTTACTGCAGCAAGTTTCCAATAACCTAACTAAAAGATTCCTCCTTTTCATGTACAATCACTAATCACTTTTATAACTTTTCAAAGCAATTTCAGCTGTCAAGTTTTAGGAATTAATGATCCTATCCGTCAAATCTCAATCAGCATCTTCTAGGGTTCAAATTTCAATCTCTCAATCACTTTCTTCTATTTATACAATCAGCTCTTCTTTAGGCAGCTTCAGCAGTAAGTCCTGTTGAATAAACCATGTAAATGAAACAATTAGTTTGTTGAAATAAAGAACAGAGAGATATGAACCAATAAAGAATTAGTTGCATGACATCAATTAACAAGTTAAACAAAAACTATTTCATACCATAGAGTTACATTTGTTTAAACAAATAAATAAAAACTAGAATCAACGCAAAATGGAGAAATAAAAAGAACCAAAGAGTTTCCCACAACAAAGCATATCAAGTGTTCTTTACCAATGAATAATATAATGACTCTCAACCGTTTGAATCATTCTTGAAAAGTGAAAACATTGTTAACATGATAAATGCTGCAAACGTACAGAGTCATTTAATAAAACACCCAAAAGGCAGTTAATGGCTACGGAGACAGTTGCAGTAATTGGCCAAATAAAAAGCAGAAAAACCCAGCAAAAAGCACGGAGAAGATTCACACGTTCTCAAACACACATTCCCAGTTTGAACAGAAGAAGTGGCAGCCCAAAAATAGACACAAATCAAGTGACATTTTTCAATAACATGCATATCATGATACTCAGTGAAAAACATGAAAAGGCAAACCATTTCGTTGTCGTCGACGATGCCACCATCATCATCCCGCAACCATTGTGAAGTTGTGAAGCATTCAGCCTCAATCTCCCTCTCTGCATGTCACTGTGAGGGGAAATTTTCTCAGCCGCGGTCACTCGTTCCTTCTGTGAAGCGATATGTTTTACTTTGATTTAAAAAATTTTAAGTTAAAATTGAAAAAACAAAAGCTCTCAAGTAAAAAAAGTACTAATTTCCAAATTAAAATAATTTTATTTATAGCAACGATAATATTAATTTATATAAAAAAATATCATTAATATTTTATTTTGTATAATAATAAACAATATAATAACTTTTTAAATGTAAAAGTTATATAATTCAAATGTTAAATTATATAACATTATATTTATAACTATCTATATTAAATTTTATATAAATTAAACAATTTTATTTATATTACTTTTTTTCCTAGATTATATTATCTTTTACAAGCAATCATGTTCAAACTTAATAAAATTACTACATATGATAAAATTTTTAAAAAATATTTAATATTATATGAAATTTTAATTTTAATATTACAAGTAAAATAAAATACTTTTAAACTAGTCGATCCATGTTAAAATAAAATTAGTTAACGAACTATTAAGTAATTTATAAATTTATTACATACTAAAAATAATTAATTCCTTTATCACTTGTCAAGTTTTCTTAGTAACATATTTCTTTTGTTCTTTCATTCTGCTGTTACTTAAACATTAGATTTTTCATAATATTATCATTGACTTTTATAGGTAATTTTTCAGTTATGTTTTTTTTTCTTAGTTTTCATTACATAAGTTTGTATAAATGTTTATAATAAATTGTCATTTTGTTACTTTATGTATGAAATTTTAACATATTTTATAATTAAAATTGTTATATTATTAATTGAATTGAATAAGTTTTTCTTGTTTTATTGTAAAAAATAGTTACAAAGAAACTTAATTATAATTAAAAAATTGCATAAAATAGTAAAAAATAAGTAGAATCATTAAAGAGTTTGAAAAGAGTATAAGCAAGATATACTAGCCTCAACACATTTATGCTCCATTTGCATACAACATTCTCAATAAGGCATGTTTAATTCCAGTACAGTTTGTGCTAAGGGGGGGGCAAATACACCCCTTAACTTTCATAAACTTTTTTTATACTTTTGCACCCCCTAATTTTATACTTTTGCACCTTTTATGTCCTTTTATGTTTTTGCACCTCATGACCTTAGGGTCCTGGATCTGTCACTGGCACCTCAACATTAAAGTGACAAGCACGTTTGGGCTCCATTCCAACACAACTAGTGTTGAAAGTAAAGAAGTCTCTTTCCAATGTGTGCTTAAGGGGAGCAAGCCTCATGCTAGGGCTCATAAGTGTTGAATAGAAGAAATTATAAGATTTTTAAAGAGCACTTTTGGTCTTTTGAAATTGATTTTTCAACCTATCTCTCTCTCTTTGCCTCCTCTGCACAAAAACTTTACACATCGATTATCAAACCTTTCAACCATTCACATTACATCTTCTTTTTCTATTATTTTAATCATTATTTTTATTGAGATGTGCGAACAAAGTCCCACATTTGTTAAAAATGGAGAATAATCAAAGATATATAAGTATGGTAGATATCTCTATTAGTGTGAGGCATTTTAGATGATATCCAAAAATAAAACTATGACGGCTTAGGTCCAAAGTGGACAATATCATACTAATGTGGAGATATACTAAAAAGTTCATACTTATTATAACAAATGGTATCATAGCTCGAATCTCCAAGTAGGACTAGTGCCACATTGGATGTGGATGTGGGTGTGCAAGGTGAACCCTAGGTGTGTAGTGATGACTGCGGATCCCATGGGAGGGCCCAGTATGGGTGGACCTTCAAGAATAGGCGAGGGTGCCTCCAATATCATACTTATATGCCCTTGATTTGGGACAATATCATATTAGTGTGGAGATATTACAAAAAGTCCATACTTATTTTAACAATTTTCATAAAATCCCACTAAACTAGGTTAGGTGTAGCAAAATGACAAAATGAAAGGTTTCAATCTTCAATACAACTCTTAAACAATAAAAAAATATAAGTTTAGACTTATTAGCCTTTTTAAACATAATTTTTTTATATTTATTTAAAAAATTATTATAAAAGCTTAGCTGAAATTTTTCAAAAAGTCACATTAAGCTTTAAAATATAACTTATATTAAATAAATATGTCAACTAGAATCACAAAAGACATTATTTTATCAATTTCTCTAACCAATGTCATATTGCATACAATAAAAATTAATAAATTAAAATTTTCATTGAAAATTATCATATTTAATAGTACCAATACACTTAATTATATTAAATTTTATAATTTTTTAATAAAAACTTATTAAATATATATTTTCATTATGTGTAATATTGCACAATATAAAAAATGTTTTTTATTTTTATTTTTTATATACATATCTAAATTGTTAAACTCCTTTGTACATAATTTAATTAATTAATTAAACTCCAAGTCGATCCATACAGTAGCATGGATAACTTCCTCATTATATAAAATTTTGTAAATTTATTTAGTTAATGTATCTTAATTCAATGATTAAATTGATTCAATTAAGTAAATCTTTTCTAATAATAATAATAATATTATTATTATTATCATTATTGTTATTGTTATTATTTAATTATAAAAAATTAGCATCTTAAGAATTTATTTTAGTAAAAGAAACTTCTTAATTTTTCTTTCATGAGTAAACAGTCAACTATAAGTTAAGGTAAAATAAAGAACTTAATTTTGTCATGCATTCCATGTATGCTTAGTTTAATTAAACATCGATTTTCATGCATTTATTTCTGGTAGATGAAAATATCATACATTTATAATTATTATAATAACAAAAAAGGTTAGCGTAATTTTTAATGCATTTCGTTGTTCAAAGTTAGGCTACCCTGACGTAATAATTTTAAAAGCACAATAAATTGTGGGAGTTTTTTCTATTTCATTAATTTATTTAATATTTTTTTTCATCTGAGTTGATTTGTATTTGACCTGAATCAGACATCTGGATGTAGTGAGTAAGTCTATCACTGAAAATTTTTGTATACATAAAAATTCAAATTCGAAACCTTACTTAAATGATACTAAGCCGCTTGCTACTTAGACCAACATTCATGAGTAATTTATTTAATATTTTCAAACATACTTCTTGGAGTAAAAATATTTAAGAAAGTTTAGGGTAGCTAATGAAAAACATTAAAATTATTTTAACTCCTTAATTTAGATCTTATCCATAAAAAGAGCATTTTTCCTATGAATAAATGTCAAACATAATCACGAGATTAATGGAAAGTGTGAAAAACACAACATATGGTTGATAAATGAATGTCAACCACTTTTTATTTTTTTTAAAAAGCATATCTTAGTTTTAAAATGGGAAACATTCTTAATCGTGAATACTATTATCTTCTTTTGTTCTTTTTTTTTTTAAGAAAACTAAAAATAAAAAAATTAGCAAAAAGGAACCCCTAAAATCTTTCAAGACACATTTCTAATTAAACATCATAGATAAACTAGAATAATATAATAAGAAAATAAGGAGCAGCGTTAACTCATTTAAAGAACAAGTGGTCAAAGCATTAGAAATGTTGTAATTTTTAATGAGAAAAAGTACGATGAGACTCTTATTGACTGTGTGTGATTATTTGATACTTGATTGTATACACAAAAATTAAAGATATATTTTAAAATTTATGAAAATAAAGACCTTTTATAATAATGTTATAGATATTTAATTTTAATAAAATTTGGCATAAATAATCTTAATAATAATTATAATTCATCGGTTGAATTAATGAAAATTAATTTCTCTGTTGTGCATGTAAGCATCGTTGGTCATTGGTCACTTTTTATTTATATTAATGTTATAAATGTTTTATTTTGATAAAATTTTACATAAATAATCTTGATAATATATAATTATAATTTAAAGCTTAAATCAATAAAAATTATTTTTTCATTAAATTATTAACGGTGTAAGATTAATTAAATTATAGTAGTGTAAGTTACACTCACTTTTGTATTGTTTAATAAATATTTGTTGAATAATTTAATCTTAAAATTAACCATTAGATTAAAATTTCAATCACATAAATTTGAGATTGATTTAAAATAATTTGATATTATTTATAAACATAAAAATTAATATAATATATACTTTTAAAATTTATGAAAATAAGGACCATTTGATAACAACCTTATAAATATTTGATTTTGATAAAATTTGTCACAAATAATCTAAATAATATATAATTATAACAACGGTTGGATAGATGAAAGTTAATTGGTGCGTGATCTGGTACTCACAAGGGGTACCAGATACCTTTTCTACGTGAATAAAAATGATTGGTTTAAGTAATTTAAAATTATTTTTATTATAAATTAATTTTTATTATGAAAAAACTCTTTATATTTATTTTAATACAAAAGTTCCTTTTGAAAAAAAAATATTAAGTTTTGCTTCATTTTCTTTACTAAAATTTTTGGAGTTTTTTTTTTTTCATTTCTTCTTTTTCACTCCAACTTTTGTATTTTTTTAAGTTTAAACGAGTACTTTCTTTCTTCATATGTTAACCATGAAAAGATGCAATGGTATATTTTTCACATAGAACCTCGATCAAGTACTCCTTTTCACACTTATATCAGAAACACTAGAGCATAGTTCTATTTCATCCTCTTTGCTTAAACTTTTGGGTTCTATTTTTTTTTCGTTTCTTCTTCTTCCCGCAAAATTTAGGGTTAGCTTTTTTGTTTCCTTTTATTACCACTGATTTTATACTTAAATTTCCTAACAATGTTTATTTAATTTTTAAATGTTGAAATATAACTTAATTCCTTTGGTGCTAGAGTTTTGGATTCAAAGTTTGAAGAGCAAAAAACTAAAAATGAAGGATAGCAATGCCTTTAACAGTTTCCCTGTACCTAAATCTTTGCAACTAGTAATTATTAATTGAAGTTTTGAAATTTTCAAATTTTCTCAATTTCTCATTGCTTGGAAATTTTTCATGGTTTCAAGGATGAGAGGTTTTTGAAGGAGGAGCGGTATATGTGGTTCAAGGATTATTCCTATTTTCACTATCTCATTCAACTGTATC